ATTTTTAATCACTGATCAAAAGATGCTTTATAAACCCCCATGAGCTTTGCAGTGAAGTTTCATTACAGAAGTGCTTAAAACTCGAAAAACTTAACCTCTAAATCTTGAATTCCTTGATGATGATGATCTTCAGAACATTACAAGAATCATCATTACATTTAAACTCCATTTTTAAGATTCCTACACTATTAATAAGACGTAAAAACCAAAAATTCTTAAAAATTTTATCAAAAGCATCTTTAAAAATTAATTTTTTTGCAGCTAAAACACGAATCAATCTTCAGAGCGCCCGCTTAAAATTTCATATTTAAGAAAGAATTTTCTTATGTTTAGATTTTTATATTTTAAAATTTTAATTCTAGATATGTTAACTCACTTTATAACGTTTGAAATTAAAAATTAAACAAAATTATAATAACATAGAAGTAACACAACATAGTAGTTACAATTAATTTCCAACACTATAATAATAATAATAATAATAATAATAATAAATCACTATAACTTTCAATCGAAATATCAATATAATTATATCTATCATTTTCTTGCATTTAAATTACGAATTTAAAGTCAATTTTTTAAGAAGAAAATAATAAAGTTGCTAGTGGCAGAACACAATCCATCTTCATCTTATCCATCATCACGCTTATGAATTATTCCCTACAATAGTCTAAATTATCTATAATTATCTAAATAAATTTAACGTATGCTTTAAACTTTAGTAACAAAAATTAAAACTGAATTTTTACTATGATAAATGCATTTTCATGAAATCCAAACTCTTGGAGGAATCGGGATTCAGTATCCAGATTCCTCCAAGAGTTTGGATTTCATAGAAATATGAAAAAATAACAAAATTATGAATTGAATTCTTATTAAACGAAGTATTTTATAATAAATTATACTTTAAGAACTCACTTTTTCAAATTTATTTTCTCAAAGCTTGAAATTTAACTCTGGCTTATGTTATTGTGAAAGACTTGGCCATCATCCACCATTCTTACAAATGATTATATAGAAGTATACACTTAACAATTCAATAAAATAACACTAAAAGTACGTATCAAGTGTTGTATATCACTTCCTTGAAAAAGTAATTAGCATTTTTCCTGAAAAATCCTTGAAGCAACCTAACAACTCGCCATGGTTTTTTTCATGCTGCAAGCTTTTTTAATGCGTTACACACAGTCTATTAAGGCACTATATGAAAAAATTTGCTATTTTATTTTCAATTTAAAATCAAGAATTGTATAGTAAATTGTTAATTGCAAAAAAAAAAATTGTTGTAAATAGGCTAATCGAGGTTTTATTACACACAAAAATAGCATTAATGGAGATTTGTTAACAAGGAAAATGCAATTTTTTGGTAATACATTCAAAAAATATAATTATAACATCTCATATCAATATATAAATATAAGTTCAATAGCAGCTTCTACAATTTAAATGAAATTTAAAACTATTTTTTTTTATTAAATAAATATTGATATTAATAAATCAAAAAAATTTTTAATTGGTTAAATTGCTGTTAAAGTTAATTAGGCTCAAAATTTAGATTTAGGCATTGTAATTGTATTTTTTCGAATGAGTTAATTCATATTCCAACTAAACAAGATCTATAAAATTTGCTATTTTCCTTCCAAAGAACATAAAAATGTTCCAAAAATAGTTAATCTCCTGAAAAATAAGTTAAAATATTACAAAAAAGACTTAGAAATCTTCAGAAAAAAAGGTAAAAATCGTCCGAAATAAACTATAAAAAGTTCTTATAATCATAAATGTAAGTATTTTTCCTGAAAAATTAAATTTCCTTCATGGAACAGCAAGATGAGAATCACTGATCCATTAAAATTATATATTTTAAAGCTATAATTATCAATTTATATTTATATAATTTTCTATAATTTTAACTAAATTTGTCATATATTAAAAAAAAATAATAAAAACAAGTTGCTTAAACAATTAAACATTACAAATGCAAGCAAAAAATAGATATTTACTAACTTTACAATTTTTTTCTGAACTTTCTTACCTTTAATTTATTAACAAAATGAAAATTTAATTACAATAAGAATTTACTCTCATTAAAAATGCAGATAAAAATAGAAAATTAATGGAACTTGTCATATTTTCTTGTTTTGAAATATTATTGTCCTCATTCTTTTATAATTAACAAGACAATGTGAAGGTTAATNTTTTTTTAATGTATTACTTGGCTTTAATTTGAGTATGTTTTTCGCGTTGGAACGAATTATTTGGTTTTACATGTAATCGTATGGGAAAAGATGATCCACCTTACGACATTTTCATGATACGATCTCAGTTTCGGAACGGATTAATTTCGTATCCTGAGGTACCACTGTATTAACAAAATGAAAATTTAATTACAATAAGAATTTACTCTCATTAAAAATGCAGATAAAAATAGAAAATTAATGGAACTTGTCATATTTTCTTGTTTTGAAATATTATTGTCCTCATTCTTTTATAATTAACAAGACAATGTGAAGGTTAATAGATAAAATTTATTTTCTACAATTCACAATATGAAAATTCTATTTTTATTATAATAAGTGCAGAATTTTTTTTAATAATTTTTAATAAATTTATATACTTTTGTATCTATATTTTAATAAATTGCATAAATTTATTTAACTAAAGTAACTTGAAAAATGGTGAAAAACCACATCATCATCATAATGATATTAAAATTATTTTAATGTAAAATATTCATAATTCAACCTACTTGTTAAAATAAAATTCAAATGTAGTATGACCAAAAATCAATTAACAGTATTTTATTTCTGTGTACTTGTAAATATATTCGTAAATATGAATTGCAAACTGAATTCAGAACATGTTATTCTTTTATAAAACTGGTAAAATTTACATTACTTAAGAGTATTTGAATAAAACAGCAATTTAGCCTTTACAATGTTTAACTGTGTTTTGGGGCTACCCTAAATAAAACTACTCCAAATCACTGAGAAAAAAACTGAGAAAAGTTACTGGGATCATTGATTTCTCATCATTTCTTGATCCATACTCATCCTATTGACTCCTGATATGATGTTTACATCCCGAAACATTAGAGTTTAACTCCAAGAAAGGCGCTTTAAATTTATTGGTGGATTTTTAAAATACGTGTCTTTGATTTTTCAACAATTATCTTCAGTTTATGCAAATAAAATATTTAAATAACCTAATGATAAAGTAAAACTGTAATTTTGTATATAATATTTTCAACTTGTAATTTACAATTTCACTTAAAATTAAGTAATAATGTTTCAATATTTTTCCTTTTAATAATCATTTATCATTTAGAAGCTTTGTACAATTGTAAAAAATTGCATGGTCATTAGCAATAACAAATTTAATTTAAATTTCTTCTTGTTTGTAAATTTTAGTTTAATAAACCTATTAATGACTTTTCGGAAATTCATTTATTAATATATCAGATATATGTGTGAGAAAATTCTCAAAACATAACTTCCGAAATGCTGTATTTGGAACTTAAAAACAAACAGATTAAGAAAATAAAAACATTATTCGAGTGCTACTACAGCAAGAGCAAAATTGAGCGCATTTTCATTTCTAATTACAGTATTTTAAATAAAAGTAAATAGTAAAATAGATGCAATAGTGTTAATCTACATTAAATAAGCTTCAAAATGATGTAAATGTAAGTACCTTTAGTAAAACTGAAATAGGTTTTACCTTAGCATATTCTGTATATGTATAGATTTTAGCAACAACAGACTAGAAAAACAATATATATATAATTAGAGATTATAAAATTAAAACTTAAGAATAAAGCAAACTGTCCATCAGCATTAAAGTTGTTTATTTTCAAGTTATATAATTAAAAACTTAAATGAAAATAATTTGAAAATAATCAATTTTAATGCTGATAGACAGTTTGCTTTACTCTTATTCTATATTTGTTGTTGTGAAGAGCATATTTATAAGAATCAAAACTTATGCCTCAAACACTATTTCGATAGAGGTGTTATGGGATCAGAACTAATATGTAAATAGGAGCTAATCTCCTAAAAAGACATCCCAATATATCCCTTGGCAGATTGCTCGTGTGTTGCATTGCTGTATCCCATCAAACTAAACGAAATTCTTTCGTATCCATAGACAAAATCAATAATACCAATGAAATTGATATGTTTATAAAATAAGTTTCAGAAAAAAATTATTACACAGGGTTATTAAATGTGCAGAAATATCCAAATATCAGGAAAAAATGTTAATAATTAAATCAGCATTTATGTCGGGCCCATCAATATTTTCCTTTGTTGATTGTTGCAAGTGGCATACCAACGACACAGATATGTTTTTACAAAATACAATCAGATTCTATATAAAATTATTGAACAAATATATAAAATTGTTTTTCTTATTACTAAATTCTCAAGATAAATTTAATTTGTGAAGTCATCTGTCAGAGGAATCTTGGCAAACTGTTCCAAAGATACAACAAAGTGCAATTCTGTTTAAAGCACTTTAAACAATACATTAAATATGGGAACCTTGAGTTGTACCTGTTGTTGGCCACATAAATAGGGATTAATGTCACTTTAACATGCTCGTATCTTGATCACTGAAGCAAGGCGGCTATTAAAATGGAGTTTAACTTCTATTCAACTTTAAATAGTAGTTACATAAGTGAGGTGGCCACAAGGCAGTGTGTTTTGATATAAAATTATTTACTGATTTACCAAAAATTCATTTATCTCTCTATTTTAAGGACAGTTTTTAAGTATTTATGATACTTTTAAAATTTAAAACTATCCCAAAGAATCAAAGATACTTCAATTTTAACTCTATAAAGTCTACTTATTTTACTTATCAAAATTTTTATAATGTTCTAATGTATAAAAAAGTATTAAAATTTATACAATACAATAAAAAGAATTGCTCATTTAATAAATTTATAGTCAAAATAATTAGAAATTAAAATTTTTATTTAATAAAATTTATTATATACATACTAAAACAAATATTGTTATAGCAGATAAATACAATTCAACACGTCTTGTTACGCCATCAGGTGTCTGTGATCAGCTGTCATCGTCGTCATCGTCACCGTATTCTGCAAAATCCTGTAAACAAATTATTAATATACCATATTAATTTAACACATTACAAAACAGAAATATATTAAATATTTAAATATATTAAAATAATTAATTTGTCTATCTCCTGTTAAGCTCATAATGTTATATTTATATAGATACAGATTCAAACATTACAAATTCTGCAATCAGATATTTTTGGTTATATCATATTCAATATCAATTTAACTAAATTATTATTATACTTCATCATGTCATAATCTAGTAAATTAATAAATTTTTTAATTATATTTAATGGATTATAAATAGTATGCCTTATATCTGATATCTCGACTAACGTCCCAAAGAAGTTTGAAATAAGGAAACAATTAAATTTTGCATTTAGTTCTTACAAAACTTCAAAACTGATTGTTAAAATCAAATAAATTATAAATTTCCAGGCTATTTAATTTATTTACATTCTATGTACGTATGACATTTGTATTTAAAATGAATTAGTATATATTGTTTCTAAGATATTAAAAATAAAATTGTAACAGGAAAAATTCCTAAAGTTCTTTTAAAAATCATTGCAATTAACTGAAAATTTAACTTTTTTTCTAATATCAAATAACACATTTGCATTTAGCATTAGTCTCATATGAAACTATACAATAAAAGAACTGTGTTTAAAATTAAGTTATGATAAAAAATGCTTTCCAATGTTCTCACCTTTACTTTCACGTCTAGACCTTCCCCATACTGAATTGCATTGTCAATGGAAAATAACAAATCATAAATACTCTCTTCATCTTTAATGTTGAGGGGCTGGAATTTTACTAAACTATAATCATCTATCTGTAAGAAATAAAATGATTGTCTGTATTATATAATATACGGTACTAAAATCATGCAAATATGATTTACTCAACCCTTATACTATTATAAAGCATCTTTTGTTATAAAAAAATTTTAAAACTAAAATGCAAAGTAAAATTTATTATTATTATATTTGTCGACACAAGATCAACACACTACAAGCTACATCAGTAGTTCTCAACCTATTTGAGATGAAGGAACACCATATACTTTTATTGCACAGAGTACTGCAACAAAATATTCAAAAATCAATAAGCAATTCCATGTTTATTCGCACAAAACAATAAAGCAATAAAATAATTAACTTTATTGTATTGAATGAAATGATAAACATGAAATTGTCTACAAATAATACGTTGTAGTGCATTGAAATAAATTTGCTATTAAAACTTACGCTCGACAAGTTGTAGAACACCAATGTTCCTTGGAACAGTGGTCAAGAACTACTGTATCTATATAAATTTCAATTTTGTTCATTGTAGATGATTCTAATCCATAAGAAAGCTAATTATATAATGAATAATAAATTCTGACAGTTTGAGTAAGACTATTCGTAAAAATTTCAAATTCCAACTCCCATTCATTTAGAATTCTCGGAATTTATAATTGTCATCTTGACACCTAGGCAGTCATATCACTAAGCTTAAAATTATTCTAATGGAATTGTTTTGCATTCAATTTAGGTTTTTATCTACGTATTCAAATAAAATATTCTATAATGGATCATTCAATCCAAAAAACTCATTGTATATGAATACACTTTTTCGAAGTATTAATGATATTGGAAAATATTTTTAAATGTCCACTTCTAAATAACAACTATATGCAAAGGTGCAACTATAAGCTATCCTTAAAGCATCTACCTTAAAATGAAGCCAAATCAAGCAATAACTTATTGAAAGAGAACATAATAATTCTGGAGAAGAAGTCTTTATATTTTATTATGTAAAACTGATAATTATCACTCAATAAATTTTATATGCATAAAATTAAATGTAACAGTTGTCTTTTCATAGAAAACATTTTTGTTTTTTGATCGGATTGCTAGCTTTTGTAGCTTTATATACCATGAAATAATTAAAAGAATCTTCAGCCTGACTTTAGTCCTTGTTAACTGAAACATAATTTAACATGTTAAGTGGCAAATGACTCTTGGTCTTTTATTTCTAAAACAAAAAACTAACTACAGACACTTTCATTGGCTTTAGCACTAAATGTCTACCAGTGAACACAATTTATACAGGTTCTCCCCTACTTAAGAACAGGTTAGATCATTAGTTGAAATGTTTGTAAGTGAAATTTACCTAAAAGTACAGTACATTTGTATATAGAATAACCATTTATTGTTAGTGTTTGATCCTTCCATGTACTTAACAGAATATGTTACACTCATTTACCTATTCACTACTGCTTAGTACTACTGCTAAGTGTTTCAAATGTGGATTTTTTATCTGATGCACTTGGTTTTATAATGTCCACTTAAGTTCCATGATAACAGACTGAAATTTCTTGCATTTATCTCCATTGATATATTTACTATTACATTTTGAATGCATTTTTTAAACACTAATAGTAAAAGCTTATAAAAATTGCAAACAATAGTGAAAAACGCTGTTACTCCAATGCTACCTCACAAGTGGCAGTGGAACCTCAGAATTAGTGCAAAAACAAAAAATGATAATACACAATAGAAATAACTGCACATTAATTATTTATTGAAAATTTGTTATTTATTACTGGTCAAAACTGATTTCAATGTCACCCCATAAGAACTTCAGAATCCTTATGAAAATTTAAATGTTAGATATACGAGTCAAATTGTTCATAAGTCTGAAAGTTCTTAACTTCAACATTTATAAGTAGAGGAACTTCTTGTATATATTTTAGTTATCAGTAAAAAAGTGCAGGTTCCATAGGCAATTGCGCAAATGTTGGATTAAGCAATAGACCATTGCAAAGAGTAGACAGACAGATTGAAATATTTCACACTTTCACATATTGTGTTTACTTTTTGGCATATTTTCTAGCACAAATAACAACATATTGCCACATGTAACTTTTATAACAAGCATCTCTTCCTAGTCACATTCTTTTTGTTTTTCTTCAGTTTCCTTCAATAACGCAATTTGGACTAAAAGTAAACAAGAATGAAAGTGCCCAGATAGCATATCTGATAACACATCTATACAGTAAGCAGGAGTTGTGAGTTCAAGTTCCATGCTGGGCCAATCTTTTCTTGCAGAATATTCTAAATTTATTTATTTTTAATAATTAAATTTAATGCGAGATGGCATGCTTATCTACACTACTCCAAAACTGCTTACTATGTTAACTAGGTATTTTCTAGGAAAACCACAGTACTATTACTCAAATCTTTAAAAAATGCAGCATAATTTTACTCATTTTTGGTCATCTTAAATGACCGAAAATGCAAAGGTTTAAGTAGTAGTATTATGGTTTATGACAAGTGCAGTTTTCAAAAAAAGTTTCTAGGAAAACCAAACTAAACTCCATAGCACAGATTTTTCTGTTTTTGCCTGACAGGAAAACACAAATATGGTGATATGCTTCTTACATTCTATCTAAAGCAGTTTAAAACCTACAAGTTCAGGGACAATGTGCATGTCCATTAGCAGCCTACTAACCCTAGCAATTAGTTAAAAACATACATGTGCAGACACAGGACACACATGTTCATGCTTCATGTTCATGCTAATGATCAAAAATTTATTTTGTCATGACATCATGCATATTAATTTAAATGTTAAATGCATGTTTTTGTAAAAATCAAAATAAAAAATTATTATAGAAATCAATGTAAATTGACAGCAATCAAAAACATGATTAATATTTAGCAAGCGCTAGCTTGCAACTGGTAGTTGGACTACTGACTTTACACAGCAAATTTTGACCTTCAATATCTCAACCCATACATTGAATTTCAAATTTCTGGCTTTGTCATGATATCGGCCTTGCTGAGTTCTATATATATATACAGAAAATCATGTGTGGTCGCTTTAAATTTTGATTACAGACAAAACACTTTCTGACTTACGCAGAACTCTGCTTACACTCCACTCACTAATATGACATTGTTACATTCAGATAATTAGAAAGTCGTTATTTTTGTTTTGAATGAAAAAATTCAATTTATGATTAACTGAACAATAATTAGATTGCAAAGTAAATAACTTTAAATTCCATATTGCTAATCTTATTCATTTTTATTCAACAAAAAACTTTATTAAAAAACAATGTTAAACTTACCACTTTTCCTATTGTCTCGCTTAAACGTTTATACTTTTCACTCCATCTCGTAGATGCAGAATCTTCATCGAGTAATAAATTGACGTCAGGCTCTAAAAACCTAAAACGATGATGCATTCAGGAAATATCAATAACTCCATGCCCAATGGATGATAATTTCGAATTTATTAAAACTTCAAATAGCGATACTTTCATAGTTGCATGCACAAAACACTTCTGTAACTTATTTTAATACATATATGCTGTTGCTTTCATTTTGTTCTATTTGTATCAATATAATATTTGCCCAACGTACAATGCATATTTATGTTTTTTTTTTTTTTTTTTTTTTTTTTTTTTTTTTTTTTTTTTTTTTTTTTTTTTTTTTTTTTTTTTTTTTTTTTTTTTTTTTTTTTTTTTTTTTTTTTTTTTTTTTTTTTTTTTTTTTTTTTTTTTTTTTTTTTTTTTTTTTTTTTTTTTTTTTTTTTTTTTTTTTTTTTTTTTTTTTTTTTTTTTTTTTTTTTTTTTTTTTTTTTTTTTTTTTTTTTTTTTTTTTTTTTTTTTTTTTTTTTTTTTTTTTTTTTTTTTTTTTTTTTTTTTTTTTTTTTTTTTTTTTTTTTTTTTTTTTTTTTTTTTTTTTTTTTTTTTTTTTTTTTTTTTTTTTTTTTTTTTTTTTTTTTTTTTTTTTTTTTTTTTTTTTTTTTTTTTTTTTTTTTTTTTTTTTTTTTTTTTTTTTTTTTTTTTTTTTTTTTTTTTTTTTTTTTTTTTTTTTTTTTTTTTTTTTTTTTTTTTTTTTTTTTTTTTTTTTTTTTTTTTTTTTTTTTTTTTTTTTTTTTTTTTTTTTTTTTTTTTTTTTTTTTTTTTTTTTTTTTTTTTTTTTTTTTTTTTTTTTTTTTTTTTTTTTTTTTTTTTTTTTTTTTTTTTTTTTTTTTTTTTTTTTTTTTTTTTTTTTTTTTTTTTTTTTTTTTTTTTTTTTTTTTTTTTTTTTTTTTTTTTTTTTTTTTTTTTTTTTTTTTTTTTTTTTTTTTTTTTTTTTTTTTTTTTTTTTTTTTTTTTTTTTTTTTTTTTTTTTTTTTTTTTTTTTTTTTTTTTTTTTTTTTTTTTTTTTTTTTTTTTTTTTTTTTTTTTTTTTTTTTTTTTTTTTTTTTTTTTTTTTTTTTTTTTTTTTTTTTTTTTTTTTTTTTTTTTTTTTTTTTTTTTTTTTTTTTTTTTTTTTTTTTTTTTTTTTTTTTTTTTTTTTTTTTTTTTTTTTTTTTTTTTTTTTTTTTTTTTTTTTTTTTTTTTTTTTTTTTTTTTTTTTTTTTTTTTTTTTTTTTTTTTTTTTTTTTTTTTTTTTTTTTTTTTTTTTTTTTTTTTTTTTTTTTTTTTTTTTTTTTTTTTTTTTTTTTTTTTTTTTTTTTTTTTTTTTTTTTTTTTTTTTTTTTTTTTTTTTTTTTTTTTTTTTTTTTTTTTTTTTTTTTTTTTTTTTTTTTTTTTTTTTTTTTTTTTTTTTTTTTTTTTTTTTTTTTTTTTTTTTTTTTTTTTTTTTTTTTTTTTTTTTTTTTTTTTTTTTTTTTTTTTTTTTTTTTTTTTTTTTTTTTTTTTTTTTTTTTTTTTTTTTTTTTTTTTTTTTTTTTTTTTTTTTTTTTTTTTTTTTTTTTTTTTTTTTTTTTTTTTTTTTTTTTTTTTTTTTTTTTTTTTTTTTTTTTTTTTTTTTTTTTTTTTTTTTTTTTTTTTTTTTTTTTTTTTTTTTTTTTTTTTTTTTTTTTTTTTTTTTTTTTTTTTTTTTTTTTTTTTTTTTTTTTTTTTTTTTTTTTTTTTTTTTTTTTTTTTTTTTTTTTTTTTTTTTTTTTTTTTTTTTTTTTTTTTTTTTTTTTTTTTTTTTTTTTTTTTTTTTTTTTTTTTTTTTTTTTTTTTTTTTTTTTTTTTTTTTTTTTTTTTTTTTTTTTTTTTTTTTTTTTTTTTTTTTTTTTTTTTTTTTTTTTTTTTTTTTTTTTTTTTTTTTTTTTTTTTTTTTTTTTTTTTTTTTTTTTTTTTTTTTTTTTTTTTTTTTTTTTTTTTTTTTTTTTTTTTTTTTTTTTTTTTTTTTTTTTTTTTTTTTTTTTTTTTTTTTTTTTTTTTTTTTTTTTTTTTTTTTTTTTTTTTTTTTTTTTTTTTTTTTTTTTTTTTTTTTTTTTTTTTTTTTTTTTTTTTTTTTTTTTTTTTTTTTTTTTTTTTTTTTTTTTTTTTTTTTTTTTTTTTTTTTTTTTTTTTTTTTTTTTTTTTTTTTTTTTTTTTTTTTTTTTTTTTTTTTTTTTTTTTTTTTTTTTTTTTTTTTTTTTTTTTTTTTTTTTTTTTTTTTTTTTTTTTTTTTTTTTTTTTTTTTTTTTTTTTTTTTTTTTTTTTTTTTTTTTTTTTTTTTTTTTTTTTTTTTTTTTTTTTTTTTTTTTTTTTTTTTTTTTTTTTTTTTTTTTTTTTTTTTTTTTTTTTTTTTTTTTTTTTTTTTTTTTTTTTTTTTTTTTTTTTTTTTTTTTTTTTTTTTTTTTTTTTTTTTTTTTTTTTTTTTTTTTTTTTTTTTTTTTTTTTTTTTTTTTTTTTTTTTTTTTTTTTTTTTTTTTTTTTTTTTTTTTTTTTTTTTTTTTTTTTTTTTTTTTTTTTTTTTTTTTTTTTTTTTTTTTTTTTTTTTTTTTTTTTTTTTTTTTTTTTTTTTTTTTTTTTTTTTTTTTTTTTTTTTTTTTTTTTTTTTTTTTTTTTTTTTTTTTTTTTTTTTTTTTTTTTTTTTTTTTTTTTTTTTTTTTTTTTTTTTTTTTTTTTTTTTTTTTTTTTTTTTTTTTTTTTTTTTTTTTTTTTTTTTTTTTTTTTTTTTTTTTTTTTTTTTTTTTTTTTTTTTTTTTTTTTTTTTTTTTTTTTTTTTTTTTTTTTTTTTTTTTTTTTTTTTTTTTTTTTTTTTTTTTTTTTTTTTTTTTTTTTTTTTTTTTTTTTTTTTTTTTTTTTTTTTTTTTTTTTTTTTTTTTTTTTTTTTTTTTTTTTTTTTTTTTTTTTTTTTTTTTTTTTTTTTTTTTTTTTTTTTTTTTTTTTTTTTTTTTTTTTTTTTTTTTTTTTTTTTTTTTTTTTTTTTTTTTTTTTTTTTTTTTTTTTTTTTTTTTTTTTTTTTTTTTTTTTTTTTTTTTTTTTTTTTTTTTTTTTTTTTTTTTTTTTTTTTTTTTTTTTTTTTTTTTTTTTTTTTTTTTTTTTTTTTTTTTTTTTTTTTTTTTTTTTTTTTTTTTTTTTTTTTTTTTTTTTTTTTTTTTTTTTTTTTTTTTTTTTTTTTTTTTTTTTTTTTTTTTTTTTTTTTTTTTTTTTTTTTTTTTTTTTTTTTTTTTTTTTTTTTTTTTTTTTTTTTTTTTTTTTTTTTTTTTTTTTTTTTTTTTTTTTTTTTTTTTTTTTTTTTTTTTTTTTTTTTTTTTTTTTTTTTTTTTTTTTTTTTTTTTTTTTTTTTTTTTTTTTTTTTTTTTTTTTTTTTTTTTTTTTTTTTTTTTTTTTTTTTTTTTTTTTTTTTTTTTTTTTTTTTTTTTTTTTTTTTTTTTTTTTTTTTTTTTTTTTTTTTTTTTTTTTTTTTTTTTTTTTTTTTTTTTTTTTTTTTTTTTTTTTTTTTTTTTTTTTTTTTTTTTTTTTTTTTTTTTTTTTTTTTTTTTTTTTTTTTTTTTTTTTTTTTTTTTTTTTTTTTTTTTTTTTTTTTTTTTTTTTTTTTTTTTTTTTTTTTTTTTTTTTTTTTTTTTTTTTTTTTTTTTTTTTTTTTTTTTTTTTTTTTTTTTTTTTTTTTTTTTTTTTTTTTTTTTTTTTTTTTTTTTTTTTTTTTTTTTTTTTTTTTTTTTTTTTTTTTTTTTTTTTTTTTTTTTTTTTTTTTTTTTTTTTTTTTTTTTTTTTTTTTTTTTTTTTTTTTTTTTTTTTTTTTTTTTTTTTTTTTTTTTTTTTTTTTTTTTTTTTTTTTTTTTTTTTTTTTTTTTTTTTTTTTTTTTTTTTTTTTTTTTTTTTTTTTTTTTTTTTTTTTTTTTTTTTTTTTTTTTTTTTTTTTTTTTTTTTTTTTTTTTTTTTTTTTTTTTTTTTTTTTTTTTTTTTTTTTTTTTTTTTTTTNTATAATTGTAACCTAGCGCTGCATCTGAAAATCCAGGTGGCGCTATAAAAACATGTGCAGGCCGTCCGCCATATTTCTTTTTCTCTCTTTCGGCTACGCTACGCACGACGAGTGGATGTTCTGTACCGAAGCATGCTTGTAACCGATCGAGCTTTTACTCAATAAGTGTAAAACAAAATTTTGTACATGATTGTAAATAAACTTTCATGGTGAGATATAAAGCTTCGGTTATTTTATATAATCAACGAACACTCAAGTGGTGCATCAACCACTACAGCCTGTATTCTTTTTTACTCGTCAGATTAGGAATAATGTATCGCGGGCCGTAGTTTGCCCATCACTGTTATAGGTCATTAAAGTTAAGGAACACCAAGAACACAAATAACACATTAGCAGAGTCAATATTTTATTGTAGGATTGTCTTTACTAGTTTTGATTGCATTTCTATAGCTGTGAAAGATATATCAGATAAACAAAATTTTTATTACTGTTTATGTTCAATTGTAATTTTCTTAAAAATAAATTTATTTACAGTACAATGTATATATAATACAATCTTAAAGCATAAATACAGCAGACAATTTATAAAAATTGATCAATCACTACTTATTGTATTAGTAATAAGTTATTGATAAAATAGCAATTGATTAAGCTGTGCATTGTATTTTACAGAGTGTCTGAAAAGTACTGTGCAGCAAAAAGGTTTAAGTACTTAAAGTTTTACATATGATATTGCAGTTTCTCCTACAGCAAATACTGGAAATATCTCCCAAAGACCCTAAAATCTGGGAGCAAAGTCCAGAAATCTAGCAGGATGGATCCCATGACAGATTATGCAATAAGTAACAAAATTTCCAAAAACCATAGTCTAAAAGTCAGAATATTTGTGAGCAAGCAGTAATGCCGTCTATGCAAAGTGAAAACACAGGATGCACAACTTAGGCTGCATTCATACTAATAACAATAAAGCCACAGATCCTAAATGATAATGATGGCATGTCTTTCATCATATTCATTTATTGCCAAAGCGTTCATACTGTTTGTTAGTTTTCATCTTAGAGCATGTGCAATTTACCGTGTTTTCCCGAAAATAAGACCTAGCAGAGGTTTTGCTGAATTGCTAAATATAAGGCCTCCCTCGAAAGTAAGACCTAGCAAAGTTTTTTTTTACTCATAATGATCATCAACAGATGGTTGAAAGTGGCCGTTGGCTTTTTGAAAGTACAGCCACTGATTGGTCAGCAGACAATCATGCCACATGGCATGATTTGCATAAGACTATGGCTTGAAAATCACAGATTTGCATAACGTTATGGCTGGTGATCGCTAACTGGTCGGCTGGGAATCACACCACATCACACTTGCAGTGCTACGGTTCCGTGAGCACTAATTGGTCATCGAGCCCAATGTCAATGCTGTAAAAAGGTTAAGTTGAAGCGAGAGTGGGAAGTCCACTCCAGCACGGGAACTTTGTAAGTTCACTTCAGTTCGTGACTTCAGTTTTATTTAAGTTCAGTTTGACACGACCAGATATATGTCACTCTCATCTAAGTTCAACTTGAATTTTTTTGTTCAATAATAAATGTGAATTCTTCTTAATGGAAAAATAAGACATCCCCTGAAAATAAGACCTAGTGCATCTTTGAGAGCAAAAATTAATATAAGACACTGTCTTATTTTCGGGGAAACAGAGTACATTAGGCTTAGTGTTATTCCACAGTTTTCTACTTTACACCGAACTTATCTGTTTTAAAATAGAATATGCAAAGTAAAATGTTAATTCTTTAATGATGACAGCAGAATTTATTACTTTTGTTAAGAAAAATGTCAAAATGTCAATGATTCATGGCCTTGGTATTGAAAGATAAACACAACGCAAATTCTGTGCCTTGATCCAGGAATTTCAATTAAAAGATATCAATGAATTTTTGACAAGCTATGCCTTGTTTATAAAATTGTACTGCCTGCTGTGTTAGCTTAGAGGCATGAAGTAGTGCATGTCAGAAGTTGGAATTTGGCACAGAGTATTAGGTGCCCAAATCATGTGCACATAAAAAAAACAAACTTGTAGGTACTCAGGAAACTGAGAACCAAGTCAAAATTCAAAATGGCAACACTCTACAAACAGGCAGTAGTGCAAAATTTGCGCATGCATTGCTCGTTGGAAAGTTGGAAATGCAAACGTTGCGAAATCGAATTTTGACAAATGAATCTTTGAAAAAACCCATTTACCTGTTCCGTGTAATTCCCCACATATCTCTGGTCACCACATGCTGACCTTAACTGATTGACCTGAGATAGCTTCCGATGCCGAAACATTCCGTTTCGGCATCAGAATGTTTTTCAAAGCAGATGGCGCTAGTCGTTATAATTTTATATTAAAACTAACTTCCAAAATATAATTTGTTTTCGTTTTACATTNTGGTTATATCATATTCAATATCAATTTAACTAAATTATTATTATACTTCATCATGTCATAATCTAGTAAATTAATAAATTTTTTAATTATATTTAATGGATTATAAATAGTATGCCTTATATCTGATATCTCGACTAACGTCCCAAAGAAGTTTGAAATAAGGAAACAATTAAATTTTGCATTTAGTTCTTACAAAACTTCAAAACTGATTGTTAAAATCAAATAAATTATAAATTTCCAGGCTATTTAATTTATTTACATTCTATGTACGTATGACATTTGTATTTAAAATGAATTAGTATATATTGTTTCTAAGATATTAAAAATAAAATTGTAACAGGAAAAATTCCTAAAGTTCTTTTAAAAATCATTGCAATTAACTGAAAATTTAACTTTTTTTCTAATATCAAATAACACATTTGCATTTAGCATTAGTCTCATATGAAACTATACAATAAAAGAACTGTGTTTAAAATTAAGTTATGATAAAAAATGCTTTCCAATGTTCTCACCTTTACTTTCACGTCTAGACCTTCCCCATACTGAATTGCATTGTCAATGGAAAATAACAAATCATAAATACTCTCTTCATCTTTAATGTTGAGGGGCTGGAATTTTACTAAACTATAATCATCTATCTGTAAGAAATAAAATGATTGTCTGTATTATATAATATACGGTACTAAAATCATGCAAATATGATTTACTCAACCCTTATACTATTATAAAGCATCTTTTGTTATAAAAAAATTTTAAAACTAAAATGCAAAGTAAAATTTATTATTATTATATTTGTCGACACAAGATCAACACACTACAAGCTACATCAGTAGTTCTCAACCTATTTGAGATGAAGGAACACCATATACTTTTATTGCACAGAGTACTGCAACAAAATATTCAAAAATCAATAAGCAATTCCATGTTTATTCGCACAAAACAATAAAGCAATAAAATAATTAACTTTATTGTATTGAATGAAATGATAAACATGAAATTGTCTACAAATAATACGTTGTAGTGCATTGAAATAAATTTGCTATTAAAACTTACGCTCGACAAGTTGTAGAACACCAATGTTCCTTGGAACAGTGGTCAAGAACTACTGTATCTATATAAATTTCAATTTTGTTCATTGTAGATGATTCTAATCCATAAGAAAGCTAATTATATAATGAATAATAAATTCTGACAGTTTGAGTAAGACTATTCGTAAAAATTTCAAATTCCAACTCCCATTCATTTAGAATTCTCGGAATTTATAATTGTCATCTTGACACCTAGGCAGTCATATCACTAAGCTTAAAATTATTCTAATGGAATTGTTTTGCATTCAATTTAGGTTTTTATCTACGTATTCAAATAAAATATTCTATAATGGATCATTCAATCCAAAAAACTCATTGTATATGAATACACTTTTTCGAAGTATTAATGATATTGGAAAATATTTTTAAATGTCCACTTCTAAATAACAACTATATGCAAAGGTGCAACTATAAGCTATCCTTAAAGCATCTACCTTAAAATGAAGCCAAATCAAGCAATAACTTATTGAAAGAGAACATAATAATTCTGGAGAAGAAGTCTTTATATTTTATTATGTAAAACTGATAATTATCACTCAATAAATTTTATATGCATAAAATTAAATGTAACAGTTGTCTTTTCATAGAAAACATTTTTGTTTTTTGATCGGATTGCTAGCTTTTGTAGCTTTATATACCATGAAATAATTAAAAGAATCTTCAGCCTGACTTTAGTCCTTGTTAACTGAAACATAATTTAACATGTTAAGTGGCAAATGACTCTTGGTCTTTTATTTCTAAAACAAAAAACTAACTACAGACACTTTCATTGGCTTTAGCACTAAATGTCTACCAGTGAACACAATTTATACAGGTTCTCCCCTACTTAAGAACAGGTTAGATCATTAGTTGAAATGTTTGTAAGTGAAATTTACCTAAAAGTACAGTACATTTGTATATAGAATAACCATTTATTGTTAGTGTTTGATCCTTCCATGTACTTAACAGAATATGTTACACTCATTTACCTATTCACTACTGCTTAGTACTACTGCTAAGTGTTTCAAATGTGGATTTTTTATCTGATGCACTTGGTTTTATAATGTCCACTTAAGTTCCATGATAACAGACTGAAATTTCTTGCATTTATCTCCATTGATATATTTACTATTACATTTTGAATGCATTTTTTAAACACTAATAGTAAAAGCTTATAAAAATTGCAAACAATAGTGAAAAACGCTGTTACTCCAATGCTACCTCACAAGTGGCAGTGGAACCTCAGAATTAGTGCAAAAACAAAAAATGATAATACACAATAGAAATAACTGCACATTAATTATTTATTGAAAATTTGTTATTTATTACTGGTCAAAACTGATTTCAATGTCACCCCATAAGAACTTCAGAATCCTTATGAAAATTTAAATGTTAGATATACGAGTCAAATTGTTCATAAGTCTGAAAGTTCTTAACTTCAACATTTATAAGTAGAGGAACTTCTTGTATATATTTTAGTTATCAGTAAAAAAGTGCAGGTTCCATAGGCAATTGCGCAAATGTTGGATTAAGCAATAGACCATTGCAAAGAGTAGACAGACAGATTGAAATATTTCACACTTTCACATATTGTGTTTACTTTTTGGCATATTTTCTAGCACAAATAACAACATATTGCCACATGTAACTTTTATAACAAGCATCTCTTCCTAGTCACATTCTTTTTGTTTTTCTTCAGTTTCCTTCAATAACGCAATTTGGACTAAAAGTAAACAAGAATGAAAGTGCCCAGATAGCATATCTGATAACACATCTATACAGTAAGCAGGAGTTGTGAGTTCAAGTTCCATGCTGGGCCAATCTTTTCTTGCAGAATATTCTAAATTTATTTATTTTTAATAATTAAATTTAATGCGAGATGGCATGCTTATCTACACTACTCCAAAACTGCTTACTATGTTAACTAGGTATTTTCTAGGAAAACCACAGTACTATTACTCAAATCTTTAAAAAATGCAGCATAATTTTACTCATTTTTGGTCATCTTAAATGACCGAAAATGCAAAGGTTTAAGTAGTAGTATTATGGTTTATGACAAGTGCAGTTTTCAAAAAAAGTTTCTAGGAAAACCAAACTAAACTCCATAGCACAGATTTTTCTGTTTTTGCCTGACAGGAAAACACAAATATGGTGATATGCTTCTTACATTCTATCTAAAGCAGTTTAAAACCTACAAGTTCAGGGACAATGTGCATGTCCATTAGCAGCCTACTAACCCTAGCAATTAGTTAAAAACATACATGTGCAGACACAGGACACACATGTTCATGCTTCATGTTCATGCTAATGATCAAAAATTTATTTTGTCATGACATCATGCATATTAATTTAAATGTTAAATGCATGTTTTTGTAAAAATCAAAATAAAAAATTATTATAGAAATCAATGTAAATTGACAGCAATCAAAAACATGATTAATATTTAGCAAGCGCTAGCTTGCAACTGGTAGTTGGACTACTGACTTTACACAGCAAATTTTGACCTTCAATATCTCAACCCATACATTGAATTTCAAATTTCTGGCTTTGTCATGATATCGGCCTTGCTGAGTTCTATATATATATACAGAAAATCATGTGTGGTCGCTTTAAATTTTGATTACAGACAAAACACTTTCTGACTTACGCAGAACTCTGCTTACACTCCACTCACTAATATGACATTGTTACATTCAGATAATTAGAAAGTCGTTATTTTTGTTTTGAATGAAAAAATTCAATTTATGATTAACTGAACAATAATTAGATTGCAAAGTAAATAACTTTAAATTCCATATTGCTAATCTTATTCATTTTTATTCAACAAAAAACTTTATTAAAAAACAATGTTAAACTTACCACTTTTCCTATTGTCTCGCTTAAACGTTTATACTTTTCACTCCATCTCGTAGATGCAGAATCTTCATCGAGTAATAAATTGACGTCAGGCTCTAAAAACCTAAAACGATGATGCATTCAGGAAATATCAATAACTCCATGCCCAATGGATGATAATTTCGAATTTATTAAAACTTCAAATAGCGATACTTTCATAGTTGCATGCACAAAACACTTCTGTAACTTATTTTAATACATATATGCTGTTGCTTTCATTTTGTTCTATTTGTATCAATATAATATTTGCCCAACGTACAATGCATATTTATGTTTTTTTTTTTTTTTTTTTTAACTCTAACTTAAGCATGTTAGATCTGTAAAACTTAAATAAATCTTGTTTTTAATAATTTTCAGATTGTATTTTCTATGTTATTGAGGTTATCAGTCTCCAAATTTGACATATTTCTAGCAGTTCTTACTCTTAATTATGATTCAACACATTTGGTTTTGCACTATAAATAACCAATAAACTAACTGTTATTTCAAAAACTGTTCTAGTGAAAAATATCCGCATTATACTTTCAGTGAAACATTACATATCTCTACAGATTAACATAGAAAGTATTAAAACCAGTTAATTCTGATATTATTTTATATTTTAAATAATAATTTGAGAATTATATAATTAAACCATTACAATTTACAATTATAAATTAATTTCAAAATTTAGGAGTAAGCATACCTGTAAAGCATTTTTCTACCTCTCTTGTTTAACAGATCGATCTTGCTCAATACATTTACATGGGGAATCTCCAAACTAACCATTGCTGACAACGCTGTCAAAACACCGGAAAGAAATTTCGAGGGTTCGATTAAGAACTGTGAATCGAGGATGTAGACGCCACAGATTTGATAATCCCAACTATGAAGCATGTCCACTAATTTTCGCATAATGTCTAAATGTGTGTATAATTCTATCTGACCTGAAATTTAAAAAAACAAAAAACTTTCTAAAATAAGTGTAATCCATAAATTTTAGGATAAGAATTAAAATTCAATCATATTTATTTTATTCAAAGTACAATCCATTGACATATATGCCACTTTAGCATGGTCATACGACATTCAGAGCTGTAGAAAATATCTCCCCAGTTGTCTTTAATTTGTCAGTCACAGCTCATCATCAATCCATAAATTTGTCTCTTTTAAAAACTTTAATTTAAACTCAGAAAAAGTAAGCATGGAGGGAACAAACCTAGTGAATCCTTACCCTTTATCACAAACGGTAATGATTCTTTTTCTGTATCAAAAGTTGACACATGCAAGCTTTGTGAATGGTGTCTTATTGTACAACAGGAAAAAAACTTGGTACCTGAATGCAATGGGGCAAACACACTAAATGCATTTCAGAGCTGATCCAGTAAGTCTCTATAAAATTCCACGCTTACTCTTCTCCCTTCTGGTATAAATTCCTTGTTATCAACACCTTGCAAATCAAAAATCTATCGTCATTATTTTCACGTGCAACTTTTCGGATTTCATTCTTTGGTCTGAGAGATGTCTCACCAACCCATTCAGAACCCTGTTGCTTATTTTGGGATATTCATAAGCAGAATACTACTAGTATTTGATAAAATCATTACAGGGAATTTTCTATAATAATTTTGTCAAAAATTTTCTTCTGTATCTGCCATCAAAATGATGTCCGGACAAGACACGATTTAAATTAATCTTCTAATAACAAGGCATTAATCAATATAAAGTTCATCAATCTTATGTAGGCCTTTCACATAAGTGAGAGAATTGTTACTAACATAATGGAAATATATAAAGCCATGTGTGAATCTACAAGCATTAATTTTAAGGAAGAAATGTCACTTTCTACGGCGTGGCAGGTCCTAATGGATGATAATATTTAAATTATTTTATTCATATTTATAATTGGTTTGCATTTCAAATCTAATGAAAGATCAGGATGTTTGAATAAATTTGGAATGCGTCCACATTAGGAATACAAATTTGAATGCCTTCCAAAGGAGTTCTAAAGTCTAAAAACCAGCTTGCAATGCAGAGAATGCCTGAAAAAGAGCCCAGAAGGGGCATCGAAAACGTTTGCACTTAATAATTTTTTACTCCGGTTATTTGGTTTCAAGTAAGAGGTTTTATATTTCAACCTGGAGTATTAGGAGGTTAAATACTGTTACTAACATTTTAGTCTGTATCTAAGACCTTCTTCAGGTAGAGTTTTTCAAAATTGAATCTTTCTAGTACCGGCATTCTACATTAGAATGTGTAGAAGACTCTCTGATATGTTCCAATTCAAACACATTGGAGAGTTCTCCAATGTGTTTTATATTGATTCCTTTCTCAGCTGTGAAGACATGTAAAACTAAATGAGCACACCTTCTTCTTGCTCAAATCTTCAATTTAAAATGTGAACAACATTAACAACTCTGGGAACTTTCAAAGTTACTTCTCTCTGTTTCAATAGCCACTCCTCTCATCATCATCTCGTCACAAAAGTGCAAATATCATCTGAAGATATTAGATTGATTTAGAGCCATATGCACCTTTTTATACCTGTTACTATATATATGCCTTTTGTACCACTTTTAGGATCTGTAGAAAGATGCAATTTAATCAATTTTTGTTAACTTTTTGAATACATGACACAGCAGCAGAAACAGATTCTACTAGCTTTTATATTTCACAAGTTTGAATATACACTTGCATCACTAAAAGCGAGCAATCATACTATTATTTAATTAAATATAATTATGCAATGTATCAGCCATACTACATGTTTTAATGTAAGTAAAACATATCGTTCTAAAAAGTTAAAAATCCAGGATGAAATATGTTTTAATATACAGGTAACCCCCATATAGCACGGGAGTTATGTTCTAAAAAATGCCGTATTATGCGAAACAAAAAACTAGTACAAAAAGGGAGATTAGGTTCCAAAATTTAAAACATGCTATTATATTTTCATAATTAAGATAAATATATTTATCAATATTTTCTTAAGTGATACATCTATATATATAAAAATGAATGTGTGTGTGTGTGTGTGTCTGTCTGTCCTTCATGCATTACCACACGTTTATCCGATTGCCGTGAAACTTTGAGAAGTTATTTAATATACTCCGGCAAAGGTTTGTGGCATAGTATGATTGCCATGAAACTTTTGAAGTTTCATGGCAATGTTTTTTAATGAAGTTTTTTAATACACTCCCACGAAGTACATTTATCCTACGGTAGATGGCGCGCGTTTACACCAGTATTCGAGCACTGTGTGTTCGATCGATTTCAAATTGTGAGGACCATTTCCCCCTCCAAAAATATCTATATATGCATTTGTTATTTACGATATTTTTAATAATTTTTGTTTAATCACTTTATTTCAACTATTTTTTGCTAATTATGTATTCGCTCGAACTTTGTTAAAACCTTAACCGTATCCCAAACAACAACCGAAGTTGTAGGAGGAAATTCGCCTATTTTACCGACCTAGGATCCCCCTTTCCCAAATTTTAATATCGACTCAAAATAATTTAAAAAGACAAATTACAATAAAACAGTTTATTATCCAACTATCAGAAATTTCACAGCATGCCAAGGAAGAGAGGAACGAGCAATTAAATAATCAAAATTATAAAGGTTTTAAAAATATATATAAAAATGAGGAATATCGCACTTCTAACAATCTCTGTGAGTATGTGGGCTAAATTTGGAGAATCCGTGCTTCTCGCATGGACACTGTATGTGGCCAGCTCACGCGTCGGAAAACCTTCTGATTTATTCGTGTATGCACCAGACGGAAAAACAAAAAATATCGCGTATTCACAAGCACTCCAATAAATAAATAGAATTGAAACGACACTTTGAAATGTTTTCTCAATGAAAATGAATAATAATAATAAGTTTCAATGAAAATGATAAAATGTAAATTGAATTTTATCATAACGAGTTTGCTTGAATTTCGTTTCTTCTGAGATCGCAGCAATGCGCGACGGGTAAGCTAGTATTAATATAAATTAAACAATGTTTTTTTCGTCATCACTAAGCACTATTAACCGAGGGCATTTCCTTTTTGGCAAGATATCCTTATCCTCTGAGCATTTCTCTGCATTATCTTCAAATCCATGCTCTACCTTTTGCAAAAAATATGTTATTTTAGATTGCTTGCTTTTAGTTAAAAGATCTTTATAAATTTCCTTATATGGTGATAAGCACTTGAAAAATAAAGCAAGTATGGAATAAGGGAAAAACATCTGGCAACACAAAATCAGAAGCGTCAAGATCTGGCAACACAAACAAGTTTTGAGAAGGACCACATTTATCAACAGAAGGTGGGAAAAGAAAATTTACATACTTCATGAAAATAATAGTTTTCGTGAACTATTAGTACTTAAGTATGTGAAAACTTATTACATTTCATGTTGTACAAGGGTTTTACCCAATTCTCGAACCATGTTAGAGTGAATTCGTGCTATAAAAGCACTGTGTTATACAGGGGTTACCTGTATTACAATAAAAGATTTATCCTTTAGTGACAGAAATCAACATGATTTCAGAAAAGACCTGCTACATCAGTTGATGGAATGCGATGTCATCAGATAATGACAGAGATACAAAAGTTCACATCAGAAAAGAAAATTATGATCAATACAAATGGCCTGGCCTTCAACCTCTCACAAGAGAAAAAAGATGTCAAGATTAAGAATAAAGATACTGCCAGATTCAAGCAAAGACATAAGGTCCAAATAGAACTTGAATTAAGCACCACACCTAAAATTACACTTTAGGAGGTGACAAAGAAGAAAGAAATTACCCCATCAGGCATATGAACATTTAGTTCTTATAGATCAGTGATGGGCAAACTTTTTAAAGAGCGGGCCAAAGGAAAAGAAGAAAACTTTAGGCGGGCCAATATAATTTTAACCTAGCGTTGCATCTGAAAATCCAGGTGGCGCTATAAAAACATGTGCAGGCCGTCCGCCATATTTCTTTTTCTCTCTTTCGGCTACGCTACGCACGACGAGTGGATGTTCTGTACCGAAGCATGCTTNTGAATAATAATAAAATTATAAAAGAAAATATTATAATACTGCATATAGTGTAAAAATATAATAATAAAAACAAATCTAAATAAATTTAAAATATCTTAGAGTAAATACAAGTTAAAAATCAAATAAAAACTGATATGAAAATGAAACATTATTTCCAACACATTATAGGGTTTATACTTATGCCACAAGCCTTGTGAAATTATAAATCTAGAGAATACATTGTCATGTTTTTTTGTCAAGCAGCTAAGTAAGCAAGCCAATGACATAGTTTGTTTAATATGAAACTATTCGCGCATTCTTTTATTCAGCAGTGCGCTGAGCAGTTACTGCCGGAAATGATGTTTTTACTGCTGACTGTTAAAAACATTTTTGCTGGAAAGAGCTTTCTCAAAATGGCTGATTTTCTGCTATATTTACACACATTTGTTCAATATTATTAGAAGAAAGGCCATTAAGTTTGATGTTGTTTATAAGAAAACGAAAAAATGATGATTTTTTTTATGGCATTGGCGATGACTGATTCCCAACAATGAAGAAAACATGCAAAAATTGTTGGTTACATTTACAATATCGTACTGCAGTATTCCAATGAAATGTTTAAAAGCCATTTTCTTATGTCACGATTAAAAATCTGCTCATTTAAAACAGTGAAAAACTGATTATTATTTAATAGTCGAAAAAGATTTTTTCTCATGGAGGCATCCATCTTTTTAGCATGGTCAAGAGGTGCTGCTAGTGTGCTGAAAGCGCACCTTAAGCACTCTGAATAAAAGAATGCACGGTATCTATGTCATTGGTTTGCTTACTTAGCTGCTTGACAAGAAAACATTCTCAAAATTGTATCATACTATCAGAGCAAATAATAAGCTTACTAATATCAGTCAAAATTTATTTCTCCAATTTCTTTAAACATATAAAACTCTGTTTTTTGAAAAAATAAATGTAAATGTGCCAATTGATTTAACAGAAGGGACATCACGCATGATGTTTCTCTCAAGTCAATTCTTTTCATAGACAGAATGTCATACTAATTTACATTACAAATAATTATAAATAATATCGAATAATTTTCTTTATTTTAAAATAAAATAAAGAGGAACTATTCGCATTATTCTAATTAATCTAACAGCATATTTCAAATGAATTTTATTCAAATCCTCTAGAGTAAAAGCTGCTTTGGACTATAAACAGACTTAACTGGAATTGCTGTTACATTAATTTTTATTGAATAAATCATTATAACAGAATATAAATAAAAGTTAAGGTAAACAATAAAATTAACTTGACATTTAAATGTCAGCATTATTAATTTTGGAAGGTTTATGTATAATTTACCTGCTAAAGAAGTATAATTCATTTAAAAGCAATAACGTCATATATTTTGAACATAATTTGTTTTATCTACAATATACACTCAATGTCGAAACTCACGTGGTTCCGGAGCCACGTGACTGAACAACGAACATAATACACGTTACTTTTTAACGCTTAAAGCTAAACAATTCCTTAAATTTTACATTAAATTAAATTTTGTATTAATAGTTTTACCTTTCCACTACCTGCAGGACCCATAACTAATTGTCCGTATTTCATTTTTAACTTTTTAAATAATTTAACACACGACCTTCGCTATACACCACGCGAATTTCGAAATCGACTTGCGACAAATCTCTCCCTGGTGACTAGAATCTGCGAAACAATTTTGTTCATTTATTACGTATGTAGAAAATTTATCTGTAGAATGTAAAACTAATTTTATTATACTTCTTCAATTGTCTGTTATTAGTATGCTAAAATTTATCAGAAACAATAAAATATTATTTAATTACTTTCAACTCTAATAAATATCTCCTAATTAAACTCTCCTATAGTTATAGAAGACACAACACAATATAAATAAAAAAAACGAATTTTAATTAAAAAACTTTATAGTACAGTAGAGCGACGTTTATCCGAATCAACTGGGGACTGGGGTGGTTCGGATAACTTATTTTTCGGATAACGAATCATGTATTAATATTAATTTATCCCATGTTGAAATTTCTCTCCGTTGCGTGTCGCTTCGCATTGAATTTTCGTCGATGTTAAGCCTAACAAAGACTATTGTATCGTTAAAAATTATTTTTTTATTTTGTACAAACAAAATAAATATNACATTTATATATATATATATATATATATCATTTGTGCAAAATAAAAAAATAAATTTTGGACAATATGATAGCCACAGTTGTTTTTTTCAAAAATGGGAAATTTTCAACAAAAATTCAACCAGGGCAACATGCAACGGAGAGAAATTTCAAAATTGGATAGGTTAATTTGACCGAAAATGCATTGTGGATGACCTCGTGGTTGTGGCCGTGGCAGGCAAAGTTTGAAAGATTGCGCTCAAAAACCAGTGATACCAAAGATTGGAGAATGAGAACAAGACCCACCTTAAGCATCAAAGTGATCCCACTTGCTATTGAGTCTCCGAGACATAGTCTTGTCCCAAATACGGCTTTGCCGTTTTACTTGTTAAAATTATTTTCACATGCCTCCAAATACTTTTGACCACCTCTTAAGCTTCATAGAACCTCTTTCTTTGACATAAGAGATTAACGGTTCCTCCATATTGTTCAAAGAAATGTGGGAAATTCACATTGGTTGGCCAATACCATTATGACAATGACAAATGTTGAATCTTGGCTAACTTTCAAATGACGAACAACTAAGACGAAAAAGCAACAATAATGACTAATGTAGACACTTTACAGACAAAGACGAATGATAAAAACAATTGTTTTTGTCCTCATCAGGAGTGTGAATGCAGCCTTACACGTCTTTTACGCAATGTAATATATATGACTTTAATGTCATTACAAATTTCTCACTGCACATTAACTTTTCAGACACCCAGTACAACTATCACCTATATTACAGTATACAGATAGAATCATTTAAAGTTAGTTTGCTGAAAGACTTTACCAGGACAATCAAATAATGTATATGAATCCTCCTCGTCGACAAGTTGTTCTTCAAGCCAGTCAGAATTCTGAACTAAATATCTAAAAGATAAAATTTAGAATCATCAGATAAATCTAAATTTCAAACTCTATTGAATTATGAAATGTGCAAAACAAAAACAGTTAATTGAATAAAATTCACAATAATTGTTATAAACATAGTGAAAGTGAATCATAGTGATCATTTCCCTTCCATTATATCATGCCAATAACAAAAGACATCAATAAATTTCAAGACTATAATCCTTATAACAAAAAAACCAGGACAAATTTTAAAGGTAGTTAACTTAAGCTCTTGTCTAGGACATTATTCTTTTATTAATCTCAGACAAATAAAAATATGCTTTGTCTTGGTCCCTATTCAGAATTCAATACTTAAAATGACCCTACACTTTTTCATTGCGAGCTGCATTCTGAACAAATAATAGAATCACTGTCAAGCAACACAGCCAAACTTAGCTTAAATGAGTTTGTAACTAGATATATATATTTAGTTACAAACTTTATCTTCTTTCCAAATTTCTTTAACACCTCTTTTCTAGTTAAAAGAAAATCTTGTTATTGGTGATACAGTGGAAGCCTTCCTCTTTTACCATTAAACAATCTATCATATGCTACATGAGTTGTAAGATTCAGTTACAAATTTATGCATTGTCTATATTTTATCTTGCCTTTTATGATGAGTGATTGTAATGTATAATGTTTTGAAAACAAAATTGTTATTAATATTTTTTGCTTTCAAACATTCTGACTTATTGCTTTTGTTCATATTGTCTTGATGAAAAACACTTTTAGAATCAGTTTCAAATACATTCTTCTCTGAAAATGAGCAAGAATGCATAAAAACATTCAGGAGCATACTTGGTTTAATTGTGAATATGACTCCAAATGAGTAAATTTTATTAAATTAATTGAAATTCTATGATTACTTACTCCATACAATAAATAAGACCTCCATTTGGCCCAAACCTCAACTCCTCATCCTCCATTACATCATCAACATGTATCAATTCTCTTATATCTGTAAGCAGAAAATAGTGAAGAAATTAAATTCAGTATTTGATATCAACTCAGTTAAATAAATTTAAACATAATTAAAATGTTATAATATCAATTCTTAATAACAAAATTACGAGGAGGAAATAAAAAAAAACAACATAAAACTTCTGTACACACAAAAATCTTCTATTTTCAATCAGAAGTAATTCTCCTCCAGCTTTTAAAAATTCAAAATTTAGAAGACAAAGAACTTTTAAACTTTGAAGAAAATTAATTCTATTTGAAAATTAGAGATTATCACAAAGAATACAGCAAAGATTATGCTTCAGTCAAGCTTCATCTGAAGTTTAAGAACTTTGTTTAAAGGTGCTTTGTTTAAATTTTATTCCTTCAAATGTATTTTGACATTTAAATCTTAATTATTATGCAAATTTAACATTTCTACAACTGAATATGAGTTATAAAAACTCAAAGCACAACTTTGTAATACCTTATTTATTTATAATGAAAATTGCAGTGTGTAAATTGTCATCTGTAGATTTTTAACTCAAAATTCTAGCTTAAGATTATCCTTGCTTTATACATTGACCACCAAACTTACAGTAGACCAGAACTAAAATACATCAGCAGGGGTCGCTGTGGAAAATTTAAAAAATTGCCAACTATTTTGCCAGTTTTAAATTTTTTTCATCACTTCAAATTATTTATCGCCACCAGTTTTACTTACTAGTTAATGCAAATGCTGGTAGAATTATCAGTTTGACATCTGGAAAGCAAAAGTAACATGTTAAGCTGTCACATGGAAACAGGAATAATTTTTTAATTGATAATTCCAAACAATACATTTGATCACAATGCTTAAACAGTAGTTCAAATGTTCTGTCAAAATGTTTATGCTTTAGTCTACTGAGAAAAGATCAAAGTAAAACCCCAAAAAATTCCCCAAATTTTCTGTCAGTCAATAAAAAAATCCCCAACTTGGAAACACTGGATGGCATTGCACAAAAACTGGTTTTAGTTGTCAATGTAATTTCCTTCACTCCTGTCTGAACTTGCCACGTGATGTCACGACATTACTAGGTATATGGGTCTCCCATCACACAGGAGCACAACATTCTGTTGTTTTTCCTGAAGTGTGTGCTTTGCGATTCAGTTTCGTGCTAAACATCGAAATAAGTAAACTAGTGCTTTTATTGCCACTTTAGTAAAAATATTGCCAAATGGCTATTTTGGTGCCACGTAGTGCAACTCCCACATCAGTACTGCATTTATTCTAATCATACACAATTTTTCAGGCTTAAAAGTCAAATTATATGCTACAATTTATAGTATTTGTCAGATGTGCCGATAAACTTTTGTTCATCTTTAAGAGTAACATGGATATTAATGTGTTAATTACAATAAAAATTTTTGTACTTGTATGTAATATATATTATAAATTTCTCATGTTTTGTCTTTTAATGATAAATTCACTGGAGTTATACAAACATTTAAAATTTATTTTAAATATTTTACCTGCTACCATCTCATAATCAAAATATTCAGCAGCGGGATCCAAATTAACAACGTTTATCTGTCGTCCCTCATCTTGAGCATGCTTCACTATTGTACTGCAGTATGTTGACTACAATTTAAAAACAACATTTGTAAAATATAAAAAGTCATAAAGTCAATTTATAGAAATCCTAAGAAATCTATTCAAAAAATATAGAAGCTATTTAAAGTATTAAAACATCATTTTGAAACTTAAGACAAGTTCAGTAATTGAACTTAAGTGAATCAGTCCACATACAGATCATTTAATTTAATGTACTAGTTTTGGTGCACAGTGTTTAGTAAAAAAAACTGGTCAGTTCCAGTACCAACACTTTTAACCAGGGCTGTGGAGTCGGAGTCGTCAAAAAATCCACCGACTCTGACTCCCTTTTTACTTACCAACTTGTTATGTATATGAAACGGAGTCGGATGGTAAGGAAAAGTCAGAGTCGGAGTCGGTAGATTTTTATGCGACTCCACTGCCCTGCTTTTAACACAGTCTGTAGACTTTGATTTTCTATCAGTGTAACAAAATGGCTATTCCGTGTTACCAATTTTGTTACGAAGAGCACAAATTTTCTATTTTTGAATGAAGAATTATCTCAGACAATATGAATGAAAGCATGTACAACTCATTCAGTAATTCTTTGCTCTTACATCATTTACTATGTACTGGTACTGATACCAAAATTTATTTACTGAACTCATCTTTAATTACTAAATTTCAGGTGGCCAGATGATCAAGCAGTTAAGGTGTCAACCTACTGCTCTGGAAGACTCAAGATCAAATCCAGGCAAGCAATTCCCCAAGAATTTTTTCATGGTTGTGTTTCATTCCCCATCATCTGGACAAAATTCACAATAAATATGGGGGAATAAAAAGTTAAAAAAAACAAACAAAACTATAAATTTCCTAATGTAATGCTAACAGAACTGTTAAGTAGATAACAAAAGTAAACGTGCCATCCCTAAAAAAAGGACATGTGAAGTATATCACAACTAGCAGGTAACCCCAGCATTGCCTGGGTAAAAAATAAGTACAAACATCAAGGTTATTAGATTATTTCATACTTCTAACCCTTCTGTTATATTATATTATAGTATTTGATTTATATAACTACAAACTTTATCTTACGTAAGGATTCATCACACCAAGTGACCAATCTAACACATTTTAAAAATTAATTAAATTATGTACAGTAGAGGAAGAAAATTTTTTAAATGTGTTAAATTGGTCACTTGGTGTGATGAATCTTTACGTAAAAAATGGACCAAATATTTAAACTGACACCTTCAAAAACCACTTAAATCATATTTGTGCAGGCTGATAACCTTGTATTATGTAATCTTCCTATTCGAATGCCACCATACCGGGGGTCTGACAGGAAGAAGGGATTGAAGTTAATTTGACCAAAAGTAGTAGTCCTCCTCCTCCTGCGAGAGAGGATGGTCAATGACTACTACTTAATACTGGTTTACTATTAATATTTGAGAAGTGATCCATGTTGGATTGGTTGTGATGGCCCCACACCTAATCGAAGTTGCTAACCTTAACATCCAAAAGACGTGATATAAGACTTGTTTAAATAAAAAAACTGGTAAAACCAAGTTGAAAAAGTAAAGCTCAGCAAAAACATCTAAGTAAGGAAACTTTTGAAAGTTGTGACATAAGCATACTAAAAGTAGATTTGACAGTAAGATGCAACATGTGAATAAAGTATATATTACACAAATCTACAACTATGGGAAATGTTGCAATGATAATAAATAGAAAAAATAAACATCTGTACAGAAAAATACTTCCAGCTGTACTTTGTGCTTTAAAATCGTTGCATGTACATTAATTTGGCTGAATGTTAAAACATCTTAAGCAGTATCAGTGAAAGAAGTTTGAGACAATGGGTTTAAGAGTTAGTAAGAGGGATGAAATCAGGGGAGGGAGTGGAATGTCAGGTTTTCTGATAGTTCTTGTAAATATCACATTTGTAGAAGAATTATTAGAATTGGTTTGATTTATTTGGTTACAACAATGCAACATGTGGGTGATCTGTCAAGGAGAATGCATCCCAAATAGACTTTTACATAAAGTTGGCCCCAATTTAAGCGTTATGTGGCCAGTTTGTTGGCCACGCACAAACCCAAAGCTAACTACTAGTGTTCAGTGGTTTTATGCACTCGGTTACTGGAGGGTATTTATTGGGCTGCAATTTGAAAAAATTGTAACCTATAAAATTCCACCGTCGTCTATCCATCTCGGTCCTTCCTTAATCTCAAGAATGGAGGTAGATGGATGAAAGTCATGGATATCGTAAGAGAAAGAAGACCAGATTAACTATATATGAACTTCTGATTTGTACTGCAAGTCATATTATTTCAATACAAAAATTTTCCTCCAAACAGAGTTAGATACATAACCAGCATGACCCTGCTAACAATAAAATTATGATGTACAGGGGCAAAACACTACTACACTTCACACAGGCAATTGCTATATGCTACCTGTGGCAGTAATGGCATAATGGCGCATCTATTTTGTGCTATATCATTGTCGCAGTAATTCAGTGAATATAATGTATATTTTTTAAAATGCTATCTTTTTTTGTAATAATTATATTTAGTTAACTTTTTTCCAATAGATAGTGCTACCTGTGAAGCCAAAAATCAAATGTAGACATATATTAATCAATATACAGTAATACCCCAAACTTACACGATAGGTGGGACCCAGGGCCAGATCATCGCATAGACAAATAAGACAAATATCTAGGGCCCGGTTTTTAGAAGGGCTCTGTCAAACTGTCTATTTTGAAAAGATTTGTAAATAAGATAGATTACTCTTCTGTTGGACAACTGTATAATACTGATAAAACTGGTAAAATATTATATTATTTAAATATTAACCAAAAAGGTTAAATTAAACAAGTAAAACAGCAAAACCATATTTGGGACACAACTATGTCTCGGAGACACTACTAAGCGGAATCACTTTGACGCTCAAAGCGGATCTCGTTCTCATTCTCCAATCTTCTTTGGTATCGCTGCTTTTGGGCGCGATCGTTCAAACTTCGCCAGCCACGACCTTGTGGGCGTGGCTGGCAAAGTTTGAACGATCGCGCCCAAAAGCAGCGATTAACCTATCCAATTTCGAAATTTCAGGATTAACCTATCCAATTTCGAAATTTCTCTCCGTTGCGTGTCGGCCCGGGTTGAATTTTTGTTGATGCCTAATGAAAATTTCTCGTCTTTGAAAAAAATAATCGTGGCTATTGTATCGTCCGAAATTATTTTTTTTTTATTTTGCACAAACAATATACAGTTTAACCTGATTATAACGTCAAATTTTTACTGGTCCCACAATTTTACTATACTAGACAGTGTTAAAAAACCTACTTGTAACGACATAAAACCCTGCTTTAATGTCATATTTGCAGCACTCCCAAATTTACAAAATTAGATTACAAATTTTATTTAAGAAAGAAAATACTACGTGTTCAGTCCTAGGGTCAGAGTCCATTTCCTTGAACGACTATGGGTGGTACTCTCACTATCTGACTTCGGTTTGCCTGTTTGTAGAGAGAGTCACCATTTTGTATTTTACTTTCACTCGGTTCTCGGTCTCGAGTACCTACAAGTCAGGTTTTTTTATGTGCGCATGATTTGGGCACTTAATTATTTTATCGCTAACCGACGAATGGCAGTTTCTCGGCAAAACTAATAATAGTACAGAGAAGCCGAATCGCAGGGGGGGCCCTGTAAAGTTGGCTATCCAAAGGAGAAGATGCCATTTAGGAACCAATTTTTACAAATTGAAAAAAATCGAATTAAACTTTTTTCCAGATAAAATAGATGTTTTCTTTCAAACAATAATAAAGGATTTTTTCATTTAAAGCCATTCTTTTTAATAATTCGTACATCAAGAGGTTAATACTCTGTGCCAAATTGCAACTCCTGACATGTACTCCTTCATATCTCTAAGCTGGTAACACAGCAAGCAGTACGATTTTATAAACAAGACATAGTCTTGTTGACAATTATTTTTTTTAAGGTAATATTGTTATTTTACAACAACTTTTGTTAGACATTTAATAAAACAAATTTCAATATTTTAAATTTATAAACAAACTGTTCAAACTTTTCTAGAAAAACTAAAATTTATTGTTGTGTATTAAATATTTTTTATTAATAAAAATTTAAGATTTGTTTTAGTTTTTCACATTATTTAGTTTTGTTTTATTTATTGTTTTATATTTTTGTGTGCTCTATTTCTAGTGTGAGAAAGGGGGCCCGTAAGAAGAAAATGTCTATGACCCCAAAGTGGGTTAATCCGGCCCTGGTGGGACCGAGCAATAACCACATAAGTCGAATTCACATAAGTCGGGGTATTTTTTCGCAATTTGTGTAAAATCCAAATCTGATGTATGTAAGCTAATAAATGTTCTCATTAACCTTATTTCGCCTTTTGATTCGTTCACGGTTACAAAAAATCACCACATAGAGTTTCTCGAGTATCTGTAGATAAAACAAACACAGAAATAAATAACACAAAATAAATTGTAGCTATGCGTCAATTCCGCACAGCATGTCCAAACATGTAAGCTAAACAATAGTGTGGGGGGGGAGTGAGTAATCGAGAGTTGTGTGGCATTCAAACAAAAGACGAATCAACAAGATTTGAAAATCACGTAACTCTGGGTTCGCGTGAGTCGGGGTAGCGTAAGTTGAGGTATTACTGTATAATAATCCAATCAATAATTTGAGGTGTGATGTATGATATTATCTAAGTTAGAAATATTTGATAGTAACTGCCATGTTTCATAGCAATTGGTCAAACAGCTTAGGCATGCATGCATAGTGAACAATCAAACAAATATCCTCATTTGGTTTTTATATAAATTTTATCTTATAAGTAAGAATTAATCTGTAATAAATCTGTATATATATAATATTATCATCAAAATTCTTTACACTGATTTGTTTGTGACCTGTACACAAACATTCAATTGAAAAACGATTCTATGTCATTTAAGCAAAAAGGAAGTGATACGGCATACAATACTTCATTTTCATTCTGAAACATAACCAAATGATTGCCTTAAATCATCTGGCTATAACTATATTAATTTAATAATTAATACTAAGTTATAGCCCAATTATGTAAGATGATTGTTTGATTGTGTTTCTATATACATATTGGTCTTCTCAATGTTTGATATACAGTACAGTAGAACCTCGAAAACTCGGCTCTCGATAACCCGGCACTCCGGATAACTCGGCCACACCCTGGCAGGGCAAAAAAATCCTCAGTTAATTAATTTTCATTATAGCAGCTTTATAAAAGTATAAAAGCTCTCATAAAGTATTTTTCTGAGGTCTGTCTTATCAGGTAAATTACTGTACACAGTCTATTCATTAATTTTCATTTTCATGTAGTAAAGGCTCTATGCCTTCATAAAGGAC